TTGTGGGCGCAATACTTTGAGGACCTCCTCAATCCTACTGACACATCTTCCCATGAGGAAGCAGAGCCTGAGGACCCAGGGTCGGACTCTCCAATCTCTGGTGCTGAGGTCACCAAGGTGGTTAAAAAGCTCCTCTGTGGCAAGGCACCAGGGTTGGATGAGTTTCGCCCGGATTTCCTTAAGGCTCTGGATGTTGTGGGGTTGCATTGGTTGACACGACTCTACAATATCGCGTGGACATCAGGGGCAGTTCCCCGGGATTGGCAGACCGGGATGGTGGTCCCCCTATTTAAAAAGGGGAACCGCAGAGTATGTTCCAACTATAGGGGGATCACACTTGTGWGCCTCCCTGGTAAGGTCTATTGGGGGGTTCTGGAGAGAAGGGTCCATTGGATRGTCGAATCTCAGATTCAGGAAGAGCAGTGTGGTTTTCGTCCTGGTCCTGGAACAGTGGACCAGCTCTATACCCTTAGCAGGGTCCTGAAGGGTGCATGAGAGTTCGCCCAACCAGTCTACATGTGTTTTGCGGACTTGGAGAATGCGTTCGACTGTGTCCCTCGGAGACTCCTGTAGGGGTACTCCGGGAGTTTGGGGTACCAGGCCCATTGATACGCACTGTTAGGTCCCTGTATGACTGGTGCCAGAGCTTGGTCCACATTGCCGGTAGTAAGTCTGACTCATTTCCGGTGAGGGTTGGACTCCACTAAGGTTACCCTTTGTCACCGATTTTGTTCATAACTTTTATGGACAGAATTTCTAGGCGCAGCCAAGGTGTTGAGGGGATCCTTTTTGGTGACTTAAGGATCACATCTCTGCTTTTTGCGGATGATGTGGTCCTATTGGCTTCATCAGATCGTGATCTCCAGCTCTTGCTGGAGTGGTTCGCAGCCAAGTGTGAAGCGGCTGGGACAAGGATCAGTGCTTCCAAATCTGAGACCATGGTCTTGATCCGGAAACTGGTAGCGTGCCGTCTCCTGGTCGGGGAGGAGGTCCTGCCCCAAGTGGAGGAGTTCAAGTATCTTGGGGTCTTGTTCACCAGTGAGGGAAGAATGGAGCGGGAGATCGACAGGCGGATTAGTGCTGCGTCTGCAGTGATGCGGGCACTGTACCGGTCTGTTGTGGTGAAGCGGGAGCTGAGCCAGAAGGCAAAGCTCTCAGTTTACCGGTCGGTCTACGTTCCTACCCTCATCTATGGTCACGAACTTTGGGTAGTGACTGAAAGAATGAGATCGCGGATACAAGCGGCTAAAATA